AATTAGCCACACTAGATTTTCCCTTTGCATGATGCTTCTTTATGCAAAGTTAATATTTGCATTTCTAGTGTGTTTTCCTCCATCACGCAGTGACTTTATGTTATTGGATCTTCCTGACCCTCTAGGTTCTGTATCTGGACTTCCAGGGATTAACATTATCATGTACTGGCTTGTTTGGATTTTTAGAGCTAATAAACAAAGAAATATTTATCACTACCATTTCACGATATCAAGAAGTCTGCTGCTGATTTTAAATCATACCTTTCTTTGTTCTTGTATTCCAAATGTAGGAAACTTGATCTTTATACTGTATGCTGATGTAGTGGCTTAATTTTTACTGAGCCTACTATCTATTGTGTTTCTTTGCAAAAGCAACCTGTGACAGTTTTTAGACCAATCAATGTATGAGGTTATTCTGTTGTAGCATTAATTAAATGTTCATTTTTTGTTTATATGTTTTGTTAGAGAGGTTTTGGTAATGGAATTCATCAAAGGGACCCCAATAATGAATCTTGGCAATGAAATGGCTAAAAGGGGCATAGATCCTGGTGGTAAGGTTGCAGCAATGGCAAAGCAGTAAGCCCCTTCATCTTAAAAGAGTATGATTCTCATTTGCTTAGTTTACAGAACCTTATACTAGTTCTAAGATTCTGTGGTTGGACTGATGGGTCAGTGTTATTGAATGAATATGATAAAATTTTATGCAGTTTAGTCACGATTGGCAGACCATGAAAAGTAACTAGTTTTTTTTATCGAACACGTAGGAGAGCTGTGTATCATTATATTAAGATCTAAGAAAAAAAAACAGAAGGGGGGCAAGAGCCCTTATAAACACACAGCACCCCCACACACAAATAATGTTATAACTCGCTGTTGACAAAGATAAGACCGACCCTGACTAAAGCCTAGAAACCTGCACTATTTTCCATCCGGCGGCACAAGAGCAAGGAGGTGGGAAATACCCCGAGCCATGGCCAGACTCCAATTGAACAGCTCCTCCTTAGCGAGCAAAAATGCTCCAGCCATGTTTGGGGAAGCCCCATCAACACCGATTGCAGTGTTTCCAAATTATCCAAGTTCTAAGGACGGTGATAGCTTTGAGAGTTGAGACCTTCTCTGACAGGACGGGACCATCCACCCTGGATTCATCCATCGTCCACCAGTCATCAAAGCATACGTCTTCATTTTGTGAGAGAGACCTTGTAAACTGAGTCTTTGCAGCAGGAGAAACCAGAATTCTCGTGCAAAAATGCCAGGCACAAGCAGGTGATTGATTGTTTCATCAGCTTGATCACAAAGTGGGCAACGAGCAGGATGTGGGAGGCCCCGCTGCAAGAGACGATCAGCTGTCCAGCACCTGTTATGAGCCACCAGCCACATAAAAAACTTGCATTTTCCTGGAGCCCAGGATTTCCAAATCCTCTCCCAGGGTCTAAAAAGGACAGCACCATGAAACATTCCATTGTATGCAGTTTGACAGAGTAGTTGCCTGAATTTGAGAAACACCAAATGTGGGTGTCTTCAACCTTGGGCTGAAGCACCACCTCACAAAGCATGCCCCAGAGACGAAGAAATTCAGTAATGACTTCAACAGTTAGAACTCCAGTAATGTTTCAGAAATCCAGGTGTGATTTGAGAAAGCCTCCTGTGCACTAAAGAGAACAATCGAGGTGCAAGGTCAGCAATACATTGTCCGTGGATGCACCTGCCAGTCTAAAACAGTGTGGAGGCACCATTACACCAACTTCTGAGACCACTGCCATGGAGAAGAAAGCCTGGGCAGAGCCATGAATTTGAACAGGCAAGGCTAACCAAGGACGATGAAGGTCTGTTTTTTGCAAACATATTCACCTAATCCTGAGTGTCCATCCAAGGTTTTGTTGGTTGGAGGTGCCCAAGACACCCACCTCAGGGGGGTGACGTACTTTAGTCCAAGTCACCAGAGACCAGACAATGCCCGCTTCTGTGTCTTTACGTCCTGTCCAAAGAAAGCCCCGCCTGATCTTATCAATGGCTTTTAGGGCTCATGGTGGAAGCTCAATGGCCATTGCCAAGTAGACTAGCATTGAGTTAAGGACAAATTGGACCAAGATACATTGGTCAGCACGTGTTAACAGGTCGCCTTCCATCCTGGAAGCCGATCTGCTATCTTATCAATAATGGGCTGGATTTGAGCTTAAGTCAGTTTCTCTAGAGAGAAATTCCAAGATATATACAGGAAAGTCTAGTAACTGTCATGGCATGAGGTCCTGTATCTGTGTGATGTCCCCCTTGGTGCAATGGTTAGGTAGCACATTGCTGCTCTTGTGAACGTTTGTTTTCAGACCTGATGCCTTACCAAAAAGCTGTAAGATATCCAGTGTCAAACCAATGTCGCTAACAGAGGGTGTTAATAATTAGAAACATTCCCCTTTTTTGTAAAATAAATTCAGGTTTTCTTTTAGCTTATAGTCATTTCTTCAATTGCTTTAAATTCTAATGATTAGGTTATCTCAAAAGTACCCCTTTTCTGTTGCAGGAAGATTTTGTCAGATCTTACTCTTGCATATGGTCAAATGATCTTGAAGGATGGCTTTTTCCATGCAGATCCACACCCAGGAAACATCCTTATCTGTAAGGACACAGAGGCAAGAGACCTTTTAAACCCTTCAATCTCCTTTTCCAGGGCAATGGCAGCTTCCAGTTAAATGTTCTTCTTTGTGATTTTTCTTAGGTGGCTTTACTTGATTATGGACAAGTGAAAGAAATGCCAGAAGATTTGCGGCTTGCTTATGCAAATCTTGTTGTTGCAATGGCTGATGATGATTTCTTGAGGGCTGAGGAAAGTTTCAGGTATCCTCAATTGCACACCATGCATTGTTCATCTAAACAGTCGTTGAGCCCATTTAGACACTACACTGTGGCACACCATTTCCATTTAATCACCCATTTATCCCATTTAAATGGCTTTTTGCATGAATTATGGCTAAAAGGTAGGTGACCGACTGTCTAGCGTTTAGGAAAGCACTAACGCCGTGCTATGGTCTACTGAGTTTTTGCAAGTCAGTAAACAAAAATATTTTATGTTAACAAAGCAGTCTGAGCTTGCAAACTAATGAAGATATGACATATTGGTTCCTGTTCAAAATGAAAAGATGGGTGCTGATTCTTATTGAATAGTTGTTGATATATATATTACCTATTTTGCTCGTGGACTAAAATATTTCAGGGAGCTCGGTATCCGAACATGGGCCATATCTGACAACAAGCTAGAAGAATTGTTTCAATTATCCCTGCGAATGTTTGATACAAGATTACCACCAGGTGTAACTGTTATGTCACCTTTTGCTGATGATTCTTCGCTTAATAAAATTGGAGTGGAGGTATATAACCTATATTTTCTTAACCAATCCTATATTTGTGTCCATCCATTTATTTGCATTATCTTCACACATAGGTGATCTATCTATGTATTAATGTGTAGTTTGACTTGTTCGCAAAAAAAAATGTAGTTTGACTTCCTAAACTGCTTCCTTAAATGACTTATTCTATTCGTTTCCTATTTGAAGAGCTTCCCGGAAGAGCTATTTTCAGTGCTTCGAACAATTCAGCTTTTGCGAGGGCTGACTGTAGGGATGGGCCTTACATTCTCGTGCGCTAAGCATTGGAGACCAATCGCTGAGGAAGCATTGTTAAAAGCTGGAAGACAAAGCGGTAAATGTGTTTTAGTCTGCATAATTTGTTTGTACCGTCCGTTCTGATTGAGAGATGCACTCATTTGAACTTATGTCATGTTAATGCAGCTTCAAAATCAAGAAGGCAAAATAGAAGTTTTCTCAGGAGGCTGTTTTGGTGAAATAGGGATAGGGACCATAAAAAAAGATGGTATACGAACATTCTCTGATGAAACGGAAGTAGCCAAAAGCTCAAGCCTTCGATTCATATATTTACAGTACATCTGTTCACATTCATTTACTTTGGTTGCAACGATGTTACTCATTCCTTCATCACAATGTGTTATTTGGATTTTAGTATATTGTTAGGGGTTCTATCAGAAGCTGACATGTACACAAGTGCCGTAATGCGCCACGGACCACGGTCCACAGGCCCTTTCATAATCAACTGAGCCCTCGTATACTTTTAGTCTACATTGACGAAAATCAGACCAATCCTTCTGGATGTAGCACTTCAGATTTGTAGGCCAAAAACCTCGGCCTGTTACCAAGCCTACATGTATACATCATGCTATATTGCTATTACGCTGAAAATATTCTTAAATATCGCGTGGGGAAACATAGTACTCCATCCGTTCTTTTAATTTGTCACATTGGACATTGATCTGTACCTTGTCAGACTTGCCCAAAGTCTCCACAAAAACGCAAACTTCCTGTTAAATTTACAGGGTGGCGATCAGACCGATGAACGTGAGTTTTGTCTATTTGATTCATCACAGATTAACATTTTATAACCTGTTGCTTCTTCTCATAAGACTACTCTTATAAAGCCGGTCATCTTTCTGTGCAATCTTCCTTGCATCTCTGCTTATCAATGGAGGATCATTTCAGTTCCATGGAGAAAGAACATCAGTTTGTATTCCTCTGTAGAACATTACATTAGTTTCCCTGGGAAACTTTCCCATGACAAAAAGGATCGTGAGGGGAAAAAATGATGAAGATACAGCAAGAAATCGAAACCCCCTCATGCTGTTAGATTGGTTAACAGACCTACACAATTTGTCAAGCAACTGAATCACGCACTATGTGAGGTCCTTATTGTACAAGTGTATTCAAGCACATAACAGCTTGAACAACCAGAAGCATGCGCGAGCTCATCTCTAAGCTTGAGCTCTTTATTCATCTACCCTCACCACAGATCCATCCACCGTGTACGCATCTATGGCCAGCCAGCATACAGTAGTAGCACCGTATGTATATATGCGTGTTTGCCAGACAAGCACGGTGCTGGGTGGTATACGTATACCTCTCCGGCTGCCGGCGCAGCGTGACGCGGCGAGCGGCGGACTAGGACTTCCAGCAGGAGGCGGCAATGACGGGCTTGCCCTTCCAGCCGAGGACGAGGCATCCCTTCTCCTCGGCCACCGTGTACCCGCCGCCGCCGGCGTTCTCCTCCAGCCACTCCCGCGCCCTGGCCGCCATCCTGATCGGCATGGACTGGAACCCGGCGCGGCTCATGCGGCGCCGCCACTGGTCAGCGCGCTCGTGCCGCTCCACGCGCGCCGCGCCCTCGCAGCCAACCACGTTGCGGATCTCCGCGCCGAAGTGGAACTGCTCCACGCGCGCGCGCCGCGCGTCGTAGCGCGGGAGCGCCGCGTCCAGCGCGTCGAACACGGCGGCGTAGTAGTGGAGCGCCTCCATGAACCGGCCCAGGAAGAAGGGCCCGTTGTGGCCGGCGTCCTGCTCCACGAGGACGAACGCCTTGGGCGACAGCTTGCGGATGGTCTGGAGCACCGAGTTGAGCGCCCCGCGGCTCTCCTTCACCACGCAGTGCAGCTCCAGGATGCTGCTGATGGCCACGGCCTCGTCGGCGGCGATCCCGAGGTCGTCGATGTGCAGGCTCTCGAGGCTGCTGTCGACGGCCCTGAACTCGAGGCACATCCCGAGCCCCTCCGCGTACGCCTCGAGCTCGCGGCCGATGGCTCTCATGGTCTCCGCGGGGGCGCCGACGCCGGTGACGCGCACGCGCGCCGGCTTGGCGCCCGCGCGGGCGGCGAGGCCGTCGAGGAGGCCGCGCCACTGGTGGGTGCGGTCCAGGCCCAGCGTCATGCCCAGGTCCACCACGTGGACGTTACTCTCTCCCTCGAAGGCTTCCAGGATGGAGGCGTTGGCCACGAAGTGCGCGAACCGCAGGTACGGGCACAGCTCGTACGCCAGCGCGAGCGCCTCGCCGCGCGCGCCGTCGCGCCCCGTGCACGACGGCGGGATGCAGAACGCCATGCTGGCCGGGCCCAGCGCCGGCGGGTGGGCCAGCGCCAGCCGGTCCGCCAGGCCCTGCACGAAGCACGACGCGACGCGCTGGAACGCCGTCCCGTGCACGGGCGCGCCGGCCTGGAGCTCCCGCAGCAGCGCCGCTGCCTGCGCGCGGTCGCGGCACGCCACGGCCTCGGCGCACGCCACCAGCAGCTGCACGAGCCGCATCCCGTCCGCGCCGCCTCCACTCCCTCCGCCGCAGCCGCCGCCGCCGCCAGCGGCGGCGCCGGCACCGCAACCATCCCCCACGGCAATCCCGTCCTCACCTTCCTGGAACGCCACCGGGGACTCCATCGCCTCCATGGCCTCGACCTTCTGCTTGCAGCTCTCAAGAACGTCCCGGAACCTCTGCTTCCTGACGCGCGACGATTCGGCGGCCGCGGCGCGAGCCAGTGGCCACGACGGTTGGTAAGGCGAGCTGTAGTAGTCGACCCTGGTGGCCTTATTGGAAACCTGGAAGCCGAGCTCTACCTCGTCGCCGTCGAACGCTGCGTCCTGCTGATCAGTGCCACAGTAGTAGGGGAAGCCCAGTCCTGGCTCGGTGCAGATCACGGAGTCGTGCTGTGGCAGCAGATGATGAATCTGCTGGGAGGTGCCATAGGAGGAGGCGGTGAACAAGTTGGGCGTGCTCGTGCATGGCTGCTCAGATGTGCCCATGTGTGCTTCTTCTTCTTTACTCCTTGGCGTCAGTTAGGCCTTGTTGCGAAGGCAAATGTCCTAGTTAACTTCGTTACGTGGTTGCACCAACTAGCATATTTATAGAGGTTTTCCAGGAGACGACTTGGTCTCTCTCTCTCTCTCTCTGTTTTTTCCTTTCTTTTCTGCCTAATATAACCAGCTAAGAACAGCTACTTATATATATGTAACACAGCTCAGGTTTGCCTGTCTCCTTTTTGTTAAGTAAGTATTGAAAGATTTGGTACTCTCTGACCATATACTATATTCCAAAGAAAGTTTATTTTATAGCATGGCACAAAAACGCATAATCATCTGGCTGCAGGAGAAAACTATTCAGAATATCTATGTATTCATTCAGCGCTGTTAAATTCCATCGACGGCGTTTAAGTTTGGATGGAATAATAACACAATGGCGCACACAGATCCAAGCGTAAAAAATGTAGTTTTCACTGTCCAGATTGCTGCAGCGATAGGTATGTATGGAGGATCGCGTCCATGGCACGGAAGGTTTGCCAAGGCGAGGCGTTTCAGTCCGCTTCCGGTTGGCAGCAGGGAAAGCTGTAAAACAGATGGCGCGATGGAATCTTATTAGAGTAGTAGCACTACTAAGAGCAATAATACTTCGTTAGGATCGACGTTTTTGCCGCTCAGATAAATTTTGTGTCCATTCAGTGATGACGTTCGACCACTGTTTTCTTTCCTGCTTTGAAAGAGAACGGAACGGGTGGAGTTGATTCATCGATCAGTCTCTCTGCGCTCTGGTGTTAAATTATCAAACTGGGTCGCAGTAAAAAATGCTGACTAAGTGCAAAACAACAGACCAAAAATCCACAGCTGCTGGATGCTTGTGTCCAGTGGTGCAAGCTTGCAAACGAAGTACATAGATCAATTGATCTTTGCATTGGCATGAATTAAACATTAACAAACGAAGAAATACTACTGCTTGGGAAGCTCGATCTCGCGCCGGCCGTGACCTGATCTTCTGCAAATAAGAGAAAAAAAAGGTTGATGTCCAGCTCAGCTGCACGTAATCAGACACGCAAGGTTAATTGTTTCACACCACGGAATGCAGTGCCCAAAACAGCTGCATTGTCGCTCGATCTCGCAGAAAAATACTGGAGGATATTGCAGCAGCTTTCAGCAAAAACGTCAGGGACGACGCCATCTTGGCTCGTCTTCACCGGCGCGGCCGCGATCGCCCGCCTCCGACCGACCGAGGGCCAAGACCCGACGACACCGAGGATGCTGGGAAGCTGGAAGACGTATGATTAGTTAGATTTTCCTCTCCATCGACGATGCACGCCGGAGCAGCTGGCCGTTGACAGGTGAGCTACTAGCTGGTGGTGAGCGCATGCTTTTCCGTCAGCTATGGCTGATCGAGACGTACGTACGGCCGGATGCAGTGTCTGGGTTCGAGTAGTTCGATGTGTCGGGCAGCTGGGCACAATGCGTGCGTGCGTGCGCGAGAGACTGATAGTTGCCGTGAAACACGTTGGATTCTCACCCCCTCACCAGCTCACCCTCTCGTCTCACACGATAGCCACCAACACAAAGTAGATGGATACAAGATGTGTATATGCATAGAGCTTCTGTTCTTTATTCCCCAACCAGACCGATACTCACTTCCGTCAAAATGCTTGTTATATTTGATTTTCATGGTTTCATCTTTGATTAAAAGTTTCTTCTAAAATGTATTATTACATAAAAAATTAAGTATTTTCGAATACAATTCTATACATATACTTTAACAAAGTTTTTTTTAGAAAAATGTAATAGCAACTATGTCGGCACTGGACAATGTGGTTGCACATGAGACACGACTTTATGCGCAGGTTCTAATCCTCGTGAGAAGATAATATGGTACAGATGTGGTCTTTGTGGATTGTGTCACTTGTGCGCCAAATGATTCGGGAGTATTGGATGTTGGGATGCAGTGTCTGGGTTCGAGTAGTTCGATGTGTCGGCCAGCTGGGCTGGACACAATGCGTACGTGCGTGCGCGAGAGACTGTGATATATAGTTGCCGTGAAACACACGTTGGATTCTCAAACCCTCACCAGCTCAATCTCTCGTCTCACACGATAGGCACCAACACAAAGTAGATGGATACAAGATGTGTATGCATGGAGCTTCTGTTCTTTATTCCCCAACCAGATAATGAGATACCCTCTTCCGTCAAAATGTTTGTTATATTTGATTTTACATGGTCTTATCTTTGATTATATTAAAAGTTTCTTCTGAAATGTATTATTAAGATACTTCAAATTGCAAGTTTTTGAAGTATTTTCTAATACAAGTCTATACATATAGTTTGACCTAAATCACATTTCAACCTATATAAATGTGACCAAGTTCTTTTTAGAAAATTGTATTAGCAACTATGTCAGAGTTTCGTCACAGGACAGTGATTATGGGGCGTTGTACCTCATGTGTTTATAGATTGTATTACTTATTATGCGCAATGTGATTCAAGAGTATTAGATGTTGGGTGAAAGGACTTGTAGCATGGTGGTTACAAGAGCCTCAATAGCACCTCAGATCTTGAGTTCGACTACCTATGGGAGCAAATTTTTCATGGTTTCCCAAGATTTAACAGCGTTATTTTTCAATGATAGGCAACGTTTCCATCGACAGCGAGGCGCCTATGGTGACTTCGTCAATATCGAGGATTTACTAGCCCAGCCTTTGAAGATACTCATAGAGGTAGGGTTTACGAACGGACATTCATAGGGATCAATGTGTGTGCGTTGTGAATGTCTGCGTTGTACTGTGTAATCGCAAAAAAATGTTGGGATTTACCGATCAGGGGCTCTTTACAACACCTTATATTATCTGGGGATATGATTACAGATAGATCCCCAGACTGATTGGTTTACAAATTGGCCCCCTAGTAGTAGTTGATACAATAAAAGCCTAGCATATGCAACATATCTATACCTTGTATAGTTGTATTCCAAGTTTGTGAAGGTCAAGTAGACGTCAGACTCTAAGTACTAATCGACCCAACGAACCCCTATATGTTCAGGGAGTCGTTTCTTTCCTCCATAACGATATCTATGGGCCATGTAATCGTAAGTAGCCCAGAGTGCTTCATGATCGAGTTACAACATTTTTATGGTATCCTAATTGGAGTTGACCAAATCCTTGAACTTCTACCCCTGTGAAAGCACTTCATTGTTGATTGTAGGAAGATCATGAAGGACTCATGAAATACATGAAAAAGAAATAAGTTGAATGGTATTTACCCGAAGGACAGCCACAACAGGTGAACTAATAACAGGCTAGTCTATGCTAAGTCGTCCCTCGTATAGTGACCAAAGTAGTGACCTAGGAAAGATCCTAAACAACTTTGCCCACCCAAAGCCCTTCTCTCTTACTACTACCCCCCCAATTAGGGTAAGTTCTTTGAGTTTGCTTGATTTGATTATTAAATATGTTGAGTAGTCTTCTTGATGACCATTCAAGGAGCAGGAGCCAAAAGCTCCATCTGCGCACTACCACCACTTTCTCCCTAGAACTCTATGCCATGTTTAGTTCCCCAAATTCCTGAATTTGGCACTATGCAAAAAGAAGATTTCTCGTCACATCAAACTTGCGGTATATGCATGGAGTACTAAATGTTGACGAAATCAAAAACTAATTGCACAGTTTGGTTGTACTTTGCGAGACGAACGTTTTGAGCCTAATTAGTCAACGATTGGACAATTATTACCAAATAAAAACAAAATGCTACTGCAGCTACAGTGTGGCTACAGTGATTTCGTCGGCGCCGATTCGGGCGAACTAAACATGGCTCTAGAAGTAGTAGCCCTCCACTAGAGGATCTGAGAGATGAGGAGACAGACAATGTCCTCCTCATCTTGAGGAGGAAGAGGAAGAGGGAAGCAACCACCGAGATAGAGTACGGTGGCTCTCGCTCGCATTCTGCAATGCCTAAGGCAATGACCCCTTAGAAGAATGATCGGGAGCCACCGCAGCCTGCCTTGATGGAGTCACCCATCAAACTAAAGCGCTCCTCCAAGTGAGCATTCTTCCGCCTTGTAGTCATGTAGTAGTTGCATTGTCAATTTGATACTCAGTGTCTTGTAATTTTTATAGGCCGGGCTCCAAGAAGGAATTGCTAGAGGGGCTGTTACCAGAAGCCTAGTGCAACCAGGTCTGAGCAGACCTTCGAGACTCCTGTTCAGGATGCTCTAGTCATGTCTCCTTCACGTTAGGTATCGCCTTTTTTTTGTTTAATCCGGTCCAGCAAGTAATACATCTTCTTTGACTTGCAGTGGAAGAAAAAAATCGATATGAACCTCATCCTGCCTGCACCTTGCCTAGATAATGAGCTTGAAAAGTAAATATCACAAACCGAAAACCTAAATCAGATGATCCTCATGGATTGCATTTTGCCTCAGTTGTCTTAAAAGGGATTCAAGCGCTAAGAATCAGCACTATATACGTATAGGTACCAAATTTTGTTACATTTAACAAACTAAGTTACTCCTTCCCTGTAATATAGTTCATTTTTAAGACAACTAAAGAGAATCCTAAGATTACACATGTACCCATATATTAAACCATTTAAGGTGTTTCTCCTTAAATTATGGGTTTTTTTAACAAACTTTCTCAAATCTAGACATTGACACTGTATAGAATACAAATTTTAGAAGTCATAATGCACTATGTTCCAGGACGGAGAGAGTATAATTTTGTACCTTTCCAAACAGCGTAAAAGGAAAAAACTGTCCCTAAACAGTAATAAAATCCCTCTCAAGTACGGCGCACAGTACCTGTCAATGTCAGTGGTTAGCAGATTCAGACATTCAGTTACCCATGACCAAACAAAACCACGCTCATTTTATATAGACTAGAGAATGAAATTACTAGTTGCAATAAAAAAAATGAAATTACTATAAATCTATATATCTGTCGTTGTCATTACTCCCTCCGCCCCTCAATAACCGCCGTTTTCGTTTCCCGAGAAACAACTTC